GGCCCGCCACTGCCGGCTGCACAGACCTGCCGCGCCGCCTGGGTTATCTGTCCCGGCACACTGCCTGTCGCCCTCCGCCCAGTTGCCCCACGACAGTGTCCCCTCCGCGCGCCCGCGGCGCTGGTCCTCTCCTATCTCCAAACACACACACACACACACACACACACACACACACGCTTGTTCTGAGGGATCCCCTGCCCCCCGGGCGCCCCTTCCCTGGGTATTGGGTGAGGGCAGAGAGAGAAGTGGGAAAGGAAGAGGGCTAGGGGTGGCTGGGGAAGCCCATCTGCCTCCTTCCAGTGTGTACCCTATCCTCCGCAGAGCCCTCTGCTGAGACCCACCGGGAGGACCGTGTTAGGGATCTCATAGAAACTGGACATTCTCTTTCCACCCATGTTGGTGCCTTTTTGCCACCCGTCTGCTGTGGCTCCTCAGCCAAGGTCTGCCAAATCCTGCAGCCCAGCCGCCCTTTTTGTGCTTCTGGGAGGGAAGGGGAAGCATCGGTGCGCTGATGGAGGCTCTGGGCTGACCAGTGCTCCTTGCTGTGCACATTTGGGATCGCAGTTTAACCTCTCTGTGCCATAGAATTGATATGAAGATGAAAAATGTTATCTCTACTTTCTAACATTTAAAAAAATGCTTTCTACGTGTCAGGCACTATGTAGGCAACCTGCTTCCGTTATTTCACGTAATCCTTACATTAGTCTCAAGAAGTAGGCATTATTATGATGTCCATTTTACAGATAAGGAAACTGAGGCCTGAAGTTAAATAAATTGCTTACTCGGGATTACACAGCTATATGAGATAATATGTGTGGGAAAGGACTTTGGGAAGAAAATACGGATAAGGATAATACTTTTACATATGCTGATCATATTCCGTTACTAAAATCCTCTGCCAAAAGAACCCTAAATGGAATAACTAAAAATAACTAATTTACTCACTGCCACGGGGCATGCTGAATGCCATCCCTGGGTAGAGTCGCAGCATGAGGTGGGGTTAATGCCTTAGAAGAGGGGCATACATGGCCCCACCCTGCACAATGCCAACAAAGCACTGGGTCACCAAGAAGGAGGGGTGGGTACCGTGGCTAGGGTGTTCTCTGCCTGCCCAGCTGCCTCACCACCTGTGGGCTCCTGAGGACACCTGGCCCATCTCTGCGCATTATCTACAGAGCCCTAGTTCCTTTCCCCTCTGCACCCCGCCACCCTCCATGTTTTTCAAGGTTCACTTCTCCCTGCCACTTTTTTGTTTCCTATTGGGCCTATTGCTTTCCCCTCTGGAAGGCGGCGTCAGAGCCCTGTGATTGCATTGCTAAGACCTAAGGCGAGAGAAGGATGAGGAGGGAGGGCCAGCCTGGGATCTCAGCGGGTTGTGTTGAGTCTGGCCTGGTGCAAGTGGAGGTGAGCCCTACCTGGCCGTTTGACCCCATCCTGGGCCACAGTTTCCTCATCTATTAGGAGTGGGAGGAGATGTCCCCGAAAGACATCTGACTTCCCTCCAGATCTGAAATCTTGCAGTGCTGCCCACTCCCTGAGTCTCCAGCTGCCTCCTAGAGGGCTGTGGAAAAGGCCTTCTTTCTTATACTCTAGGGAGTTGCCTGGGATTTTCTTCCGACCCAACGCTGCCCTCTCTCCCTCCCCACAGGCTTCCCTTGGCCTATGTGGCAGGCCAGCTGTGGAGCTGCCTTCAGAGAGAGGTGCCAGGGCAGCAGCCAGCTGGAGTAGGGTCCTGGCATCTCCCTGATGGTCTGATCTTTGACAGTGGCGGTGGAAGAGCCAAAACTGCTTGGTAGTGGTGGTGGTGGATGGTGGCAGCGAGAGGGATTGCCAAGCCTGGGCCTCTGACCTTCCCCACCATGAGTGGGTTCTCAGAGGGTCTGTGGCCAGTCAGCCTTCTTCCTCTTTTAGGGGTAAAGTGTCAGCAGATTTACTAACTTGTGAGCACCCTACTTCTGACTCAGCATTTTATAGCTCAGAATCTGCTGAGTCACCCAAGGGCAGCCCCAGTGTGCTCCTTCTCCCATGTTGGATCAGGCAAGGACTGATTGGGTGTGCCGGTTTCTGGAGCAGAGTCATGGAGCTCCTGGATCTGGTGGGCAGAGTGTTCACGGGTGGGGACACCCTCTCCCATCCTAATGGGCACCTTCGAAGAAGTGGCTTTGGAGAAAGGCAGTGGCAGAAGCAAGGCTGTTTTTCCTGGGGAGGCGGGCAGGTGTGGGTTGGATCTACCTGGTCTGGCTTTGCTGTGGGAGCCCTAGGGGAAAACACAGACTCTTGCTCTGGGTTTAGTAGACCAAGGAAAGAGGAAAAAGAAAAGGTGCTCCTGGAGTCTAAACAGCTGTAGGTTTTTCCCACGTGAGCTGTGAGCAAGAGCCCTGGAGCTCCAGGACTGTCTTCCTCCTAGGAAGGAGTAGAGGGGCCTGACCTAGGCCCAGTGTCCTTCTTGTCTGCGTTTACCCTGTGGGATCCCCCAGGTGTCTCCTGTCTCCTCACCTCCAGCCCAGCCACTGGGGATGCTTTCACCGCCCTACCCTATGCCTTCCTTGCCCTTAGCTTATTGCCTGTGCGCCCAGAGGCCAAGCAGGGGCTCTGCTCCTTGAAACAGGTAGGATGGAGCAATGGTGTGGTCTGGTGTGGGCTTGCAGCTAGTTGGGGTTGGTAACCTGTCCGTTCCACCCCTAGTTTTACAAACCAGGCTTCCTAGAGTCCCCAGGTGTGCTAAGGAAGGGCATTAGGGAGGTACATTGCCTCCTGCCTGATGCGTGGGAGGGGACCAGTGAGGGGCTCCACCTCCTTCAGTGACCCGCTTGGGTAGGGCTGGTGGAGAGCTCCCTTCCCAGGAGGGTGGTAGGAGCCAGGGCGTGGGCAGCAGGCCTGCCTCCAAACTTGGTGTGTGTTTATCTGGAGGGGAGGCCTCTGTGTAGGGCCTGGAGCAGGGTTGAGGGAAGGTGAGAGGTGGTTAAACCATGCCTGCTTATTAACAAGGAACAGGCCCTGAAACACCGCAAATGGCTGTCTTCCTCTCCTTCCTGCTGTCAGCCCTCTTTGGTACATGCGTGTACGTGGGGGTGGGAGTTTTGGGGAACCACTGGATCGTGATCAGTGGACTAAGAGATGGCATCTTCACGGGCCCCTATTTCAGCATTTCCTAACCCAGAAACTGCTGAGTCACAGAGGAATTGTTCTGACCTTATTTTTCTCCCAAGCTGGCTTCTAGAATCTTTGAGTGGGAAAGGATCTTAGAGCTCAACTTCCCCAACCCCTTGTGGTATGAGGAGACAGAAGGCGAGGGGACCTGTTCCAGACAGGTGCCCATCAGACTGTTCCTTGAGTGTGCTCAGTGACAACAAGCCTTGTGCCTAGAGCCCTTTAAGAAACCAAACAGCTCCCTCCAATGAAAACATGGGACACATGTGAGGAGTGGGAGGGACTTCTGGGAAAGGTGGCTGGTATAAAATCCAGATCTTGTAGGAGGTAAGAGGAAGCTGTGAGATGATTGTCCTGTCCACCTCTGGCCCGCTCCAACATCCAGAATAGGTAGGGAGGAACAGATTGTCCTGGCCCACCCTGATCTCAGTGGGAGGGGGACCCACATTCTAGGCCCCCACCCCCTGAGGAAGAGTGGAGGTGGGCAGGGGCAGGGCTGGGAGAGTGTTCGAGGGGTCAAACAGTGGCAGGAACTAAGGGAAGCTGTAGGCTTGGTAGGCCTTCGCCCTCACTAGGGTAGAACCCTGGGCCCAGTTACCCAAACTGCCAGGACCCCTGGGCCCACCCATTTTTAGATGTGGAAACACCAAGGCTTTGGGACACAGCAGTGCCAGGCTCCCGATTTCTTGGCTTGGAGTCTCATGGATTTTTGTTCTTCACTGGACTGCCTGGGGACAGCCGAACTGGGACAGCCTCTGAGCTGGTAACCAGAGCATAGCTCCATGGTGACTAGCTTCCCCCTGCCTTTTTCCCCCTTAAAAAAACTATGAAATATTTTAGGCACATAAAAAAGGATAGACAATTTAACAAACACCCTTTTATTCATCACCCAGTCTAAGAAAATAGCATAGATAAAATAGCATAGATTCCCTCAAAGCACTTCCTCACCCGAACCGCCCCATCAACTTCCCTTCCTTGTCTCCATTGCCAGAGATAACCACTTTCCCCAACCAGATGCTTATCCTTCCTGTGCACATTTGGTAACTACTCTGAGTGGCATGTATGCAGCTGCCTTTTGGAAAGGCCTCCTGACTCCTAGGATGCAGTGGCCTGAGTGGCCCACACCTTGCAGTCCAACCAGCTGAGAGCCTGCAGCTGGCTCTGCCTCTTTCCTCATTTGTCCCTTGCCGGGATCCACCGCCCTGCCCGGACCCTTGCCAATGGAGTTGATGTTTGTTCCACTCTGGGCTGCACCAGCAGTCACTGCCTGGCACAGAGGCTTGTTTTGTATTGTATTGTATTGTATTGGCTGGGTGGCAGCTGGCATCCTAGGGGAAGTGTCCACCCAGGCGCAGAGACCAGGCCCAGGAAAAGCTGGGACGGGGTGGGGGGTACAGGTGGTGATGGCCTGCCCTTTGCCGCAAAATGGAGGGAGTGGCATGAGGTCTGGCTAAGAACAATAAGGCCACTCAGGGGCTGCGTGACCCTGGAGTCTTCATGGCTGGACCTCCTCATCCTGCAAAACCAACTCAGGCAGTTTGGGAAGAGCCCTGCAGGCCCTGTGACTTTGAGACTGTGGCCTCTGAGGGCTGGGTGGAGAAGGAGCATGGGGCAGGAGCATGGCTTCCCTGCTCCGTGGCCCTCAGGGTAGACAGTGACAAGTTCCCAGAAAGCAGGCTGGGCTGCTGAGGCGCAGATTTTCTGGTTTTCAGGATCCTTTTATACTCTTGAAAAGTAGTGAAACTCCATGCAAATTTTATGTATGTGAGTTTTATCTATTGATATATACTATATTAGAAGTTAAAACGGAACATTTTTTAGCATTTTAAAGTAATACTAAAAATAACATGAATTAACATAACATTTTTGTGAGAGAGAGTCATGTTTTCCAAAACAAACAAAAAAAAAATGAGAGAGAATGGTAGGGTTTTGTATTTCTGCAGGTTTCTCTAATGTTGGGCTTACTAGCAGGCAGCTCAGTCTCTTACCTGCTTCTGATATCACAGCCCCTGAAAAGGAAAACTCCATTCTATGAGGGAGTGAGTGACAAGACCATATTCTTGGTATTCTTATGCAAATAGGCATGGCCTAGTGGATCTACAGGGCCCTGGAGCACCCTGGGGATGGGCCCTGATGTGTCTCTCCTGCAGGGGTGCTGGCATTGTGGGTCCTGGTGACTCACATTATGTACATGCAAGATTACTGGAGGACCTGGCTCAAGGGGCTGCGCGGCTTCTTCTTCGTGGGTGTCCTCTTCTCGGCCGTCTCCATCGCTGCCTTCTGCACCTTCCTCGTGCTGGCCATCACCCGGCATCAGAGTGAGGGCGGGTCCCAGGGAAAGAGGGCATGGGAGGGACAGCAGGGGGGATTTTAGCAGCGTTCCCATCCTGGTTCCACAGGTTACCTCCAAAGAGACTGGGTGGATCACTTAACCTCCCTGGCCACGGGTTTTGTTATGTTCAAGTGGAGAAAACAAGTCCCCACCTCCCAAGTTGGGTGGAGTCAGTGAAACTGATGTGAAGTCTTGAGCAGTGCATAGCCCATACAAGCACCCATGATATTGGGACCCATTAGTCTCTGCCCAGCTCTGGGATGGGCGCGCCCTCTGGTGGCTGTGGCTGGAAGTAACCAGAGGCCCTTCTTCCTGAAGTCTGATGCTAACTAAAGCAGGTTTGTCACGGAAGCAGAGTGGATGATACAGACCTGTGATTGGCCAGCCCTGCCCTTCCCTAATCCCCACGGCCTCCTGCCTGAAAACCCTGGAATGTTCTAAAACGGTCCCCAGCCCCTAGGCCGTGGAACAGTAGTGGCCCGTGGCCTGTTGGGAACCAGGCCGCATAGCAGGTGAAGGGCAAGGAAGCCTTACCGCCTGAGCTCCGCCTCCTGTCAGGTCAGGGGTGGGCATTAGGAGCACAAACCCTGTTGTGAGGCACATGCGAGGGATCTAGGTTGCGTGCCCCTGATGATCTAATGCCTGACGATCTGAGGTGGAACAGTTTCATCCCAAAACCGTTTCCCCCAGTTTTTTTGTGGAATAATTGTCTTCCACAAAACCAGTCCCTGGTGCCAAAAAGGTTGGGGACCATGGCTCTAAAACCTCCATCACAATCTCTTTCTGAAGGGTTGGTTCAGCTGCCGGGAGGCTGCAGGGATGTTGAGTGGGGAGGGTGGCCCTGGCCTTGTGGCCAGTGCAGAGGCTGAGGGCAGGGCGTGCTCAAGTCACTGTCGGTTCTTCTCTCCCTGCAGGCCTCACAGACCCCACCAGCTACTACCTCTCCAGTGTCTGGAGCTTCATTTCCTTCAAGTGGGCCTTCCTGCTCAGCCTCTATGCCCACCGCTACCGGGCTGATTTTGCCGACATCAGCATCCTCAGCGATTTCTGACCCGGGGGTGAGGTCTCTGTACCCCGGGGGGGTCCTTAGGACCTGGACTCAGCCTCTGAGACGTTGGGAGAGGCTACTCCCACCCCCTGGGAACCCCAGAACTGTGGCAGAAAATACACAGCAGGACACAGTGTGGTCTCCCAGGAAGCTGTCCCGCCCGTCCCCTTTAGGGGAGACCTGGGTGTGGTAGACAGGGGATCCTGCCATGTTGCTCCTCATCAGCCTGTCCAGAGGGCAGCTTTAGACCTCTTCAAATGGATCTGTTTTCTTTTCTTCTTCTTCTTTTTTTTTTTTTGAGATGGAGTCTTACTCTTATCACCCAGGCTGGAGTGTAGTGGCACAATCTCAGCTCACTGCAACCTCCACCTCCCGGGTTCAAGCAATTCTCCTGCCTCGGCCTCCCAAGTAGCTGGGATTACAGGCATCTGCCACTATGCCTGGCAAATTTTTGTGTTTTTAGTAGAGACGGGGTTTTGCCATGTTAGCCAGGCTGGTCTTGAACTCCTGACCTCAGGTGATTTCACCCGTCTCAGCCTTCCAAAGTGCTGGTATTACAGGCGTGAGCCACTGTGCCTGGCCTGGATCTGTTTTCTTAGCACGCAGTGAGGAATCTTTGTATGTAAGGCCAGGGCAACAAAGTCAAGAGGTTAAGGGGTAGGGCCATGAGGCCTGGACCTATGCTGCAGGCAAGGGCTTTCATCCCTGCTGCCCTACGCACTCTCTTCCCAAGGCCAGGATGGGCACCTGGGGAGGTCAGTTCAGGAATATCTAGCAAAGACCTCTTAAGCCCCCATCCCAGCACCCCATCCTATTGTTCCCAGAGCTGGTCTCCCATGAGTGTGCTACAGCCAGATAGCCATGGCCCCTCACCCATCTCACCCACACACACAAGCATCCATAGATCCCAGAGGACTTCCAAATGAGGCCAGACTCAGGGTCATGGGGAATGTGCTCTCGCCCCTGGAAGGGCTTTGGGGAAGGGGGCAACATGGCAGAGGCTGGAAGGAGCCCCCAAACCTGTTCCCATGCCCTTCTAGCCCTGCGTTTCCACTCTGCCTTCTCAGAGTGCCCTTACTGCACCCAGACCACCGGCCAGGAGAGACCTTCTCTCCCACTCCAGCCCCTCACTGCCCTTCAACTAGAGCTTTCACCTTTTTACATTTCCCTTCTGAAGGACACAAATCTGCTTTCCTGCCCATACACTGGCCCAAGGGCTCACCTAACTTGGGAGGGAAGGGGCTGTTGTTACAAGGATGATTTTATGTTAGACTGCCATTTTGCACGGTCTCCCCCTTCCCACCTGATGTGTCCTGCCCCTCAGCTCTTTGCCTTATCTGTGTCACTGTCACTTTAGCAAAAATACAGCGGCCATTTGTATCAGCCTCTGGTGATTGCTTGTGAGGTGGGAATCTTGTGGGGACAGGTGGACTTTTTGGGAGGAGTGGGCAGGGAGGGAGTGGTAGTGGCAGTTCTCGGGCTGTCTGTTTAAGCCATTCCCCTAGTTCAATTGTGCCCTGGAGGGCAGGGGACAGGGTCAGTCTCTCTGGGGCTGGAGGCCCTCTTGCCTTGGCCCTCCTGGCATGGGGTAACCACCAGCTCAGCTCTCCTCCTCCAGCTCTCCTCTCTCTAGCACACCTCAGCCAGGGCAAGGATGCCGACGGGCATAGCTGCAGCAACCCCTGTGGGATTTGGTGTCCACACCTGAGAGGCCAGGCCAGATGGGAAAGGGATTAACACCTCTTCCCTCACACCCTGCCAGGCTGCTGGGAGCTTGGGCCAGGTCTAAGGTAATGAGGTGCTCCTCTTCCTGCTGGAAAAACCGGGCCAACTCAGAACCACAAAGGCAGGTGCTGCCAGCCTGGCGCCTTCCTCTCTGCTTAGGCTGGGCGAGCTTGTCCAGGCCTGTGCCTCACCCCTTCTCTCTTCTAGGCTCAATGTATGCTTAATCAGGCATGGTGCATCAGAGCAGGAAGGAACCATCAACAGTGTATACTTCTGGAGCCTTCTACTGATAAACAGAGGCCCCAGAAGACTATTTGACTTACCTGAGCTCCCAGCTGGGACTTAAACCCAGGTGTGTCTGAGTCACAACTGTTTGGGGATGCCGTGGTGAGCTGGGGCTGAGCTCTTGTATTCCCACTCCCCCACCCGACCCCCACTTCCACCATATCAGGGCTGGTCTCTGTGGACTCAGCCCAGGGCTGCCTCCTCTTTGTCACCCCAAAGTGGGGCAGCCAGGGATAGCCAGGGTGTGTTCAGAATGGGTTCTTCCTGCAGGGCACGAAGGGCAAAGAGTTAGAGGGGCTGCAGCCCAGACCACCCTGGTCCCTCCTCCGGCACTGACTCAGACCCACACTGTGCCGTGCATCTGTGTGCCCTGCACAGCCACTTGAAGGCACACTGCTCACTTCCGGGGGGGCCTTTCAGAGGCACTTTTAAAGCAAATAAAACATTTATTGTTCAGATTTTTTTCCATTTTGTTCCTTTTTACAAAAACATGCATACATACACAGGGTATGGTGGGTCCTAGGAAAGACACACACACCCCACACACGCTCACACACACTCCTCACTCACACACATGCTCACACACATTTTCCTTCTTGACCCCAGGCCTGGACCCCCAAAAGCCTTGAAGACTTTGCCAGAGCAGCCTCCCCTCCACCATGTCTGTATCTTCTCTCCCACCCCTTCCCCCTCAGCCAGGCTAGTCCTATGTGGGGTGGGAGTCAGAGCTGTGGTGGGGGAGACCCCAGAAACAGAAGGCTCCCCGAGGGGCAGTGGTCGAGGGGTCCCAGGGGTATGCTGTGCTTCTGGGGGAGATGAAGGGTTTGGCACCATTGGATCAGGAAGCACAGGACTCCCAGAGCACCCATCCGCTCCACCAGGGCATCGCCAGGAGGTTGATGTAGGGGGCCTCTGGCGAGGGCACAGACCAGATGAGGGCTGCCAGTCTCGGCTGTCAGGGAGCTTCGTCTCAGTGCCCGGTGGTAAGGGGAAGCTTCCAGAGTCATCTGAGGAAGCAGGTAAGAGGGACTCCCCCTGCACTCAGGAATATGGGACCTATTGGCTCCCACTACCCGCCAGCCCCTAGAGCCTAGGAAGGGCCAGCCTGTCTGAGGCCAAGTTCACATTTCTGTGTGGAGCCCGGGGCTGTGTGCAAAGTCTGGGGTTTGCAGAGCCAGGAATAGTGGTTAAGGGTGAGCCCGACGGAGCCGGAGCCAGTCCTCCTCTGTGCAGTCCTGAGGAATGGGGGCCACAGCCAGGGCCCACACCGGAGGGGAGAATGTGTTCTCGAGAGCCCTGTGGGGGTCGCTGCCCAGCCCGCCTCCTCTCAGGATCCTCTCCAGTCCCCATTCTAGACCCAGGGATTTTCTCAGGCTCCCTGGGATGACTGTCAAGGCAGGCAGGCTGTTCTCTCATCCCAACTACCTGCCCACAGGATCTCTAAAGACCCAGGAATGGGGGCTACTGCCAGGGGTTAGAAGAGAACCAGGTCCCAAGGGCATGGTGGGCGGGCAGATGGTTCCAGAGCCTTAGAGATTCATAGGTTCTTCCTCCTCCACCAGTTGCTCCGAGGGCCTGCGAGGAGGGACAAGGGTGGGATGCTGGAGCGCCAGGGCTGCAGGAAGGGCCTTAGCTGAGCTTCCTCTCAACCCTGGTCAGGAAGCCTGGGAGGGTTGGGGTGGCTGCATAGGGGACCCGGGGTCTTCAAGCAGGGAGGAATGAAGCAGTGGAGAGGCCGTGGGCCCAGGGCGGGGGGTCTGGCATTACCTGTCTTCAGCCAGGATGCCCACAGAGAGGGATGCCAGTGCGGTCACTGCCTCCACTTCTTCTTTGTCAGCCCCTGGCACTCTAGGCACCCAGGAGTCTGGACAGGAGGCCAGGCGCTGCATGCAGCCCCAGTATTTACCTGGGGTAAGATGCCACGTCAGAAAGGGTTAGAGAAAGCAAGCCCCCCCACACCATGTCCTAGACTGGATATTGAGGTTGGTGTCTCAGGCCCAGGGCCCCGGAGTAGCAGGCCTGTCCTCCACTTGGGGTTGACTCTCCCACCTGCCCCTCTCCTCACTTCGCTCCCCCTCCCCCACAGCCTGATAGGGTAAGCAGAGTGGGTTCAACATGGCTGTGATGGGGTCCTAGCAGGTGTCCAGCCTTTCTCTCATCCCTTGTGGCTGCAAGGCCACCTCTGACTCATTCCCCCACAGGTGCAGGGCTCCTGAGAGCATCAGGAGGGCCTGCTTGCCTGCAGACAGGGTCTGTGTCACAGTGACCTCCCAGAGCCCCAAGCTCGGGCCTCCCACTTAAATGCAGCCCCCACCAGTGCTCAGCCCAGCACTCAGGAAAGCAGGGCCTGGGAGGTGGGAAGAACACGACGTGGGAGAGCTGACCATCACCACGGCCGCTCTGCATGGGTGCCCAGGCCAGAAGACTGCTCCTCCTGCCTGCTGCTGTGAGGAACCATGTCCTGGAACCTGGCTCAGTGTGGGGGTACCCACCGTAAGAGGAATCAGCCATGTCTTTACCATCATGGCTCCTGTACCCAGCCCTTGATATGGGAATCTATTTTATTCATTTTTATCCCTAGTATAGATTATGGGTCTTGACATAAGATGCTCAATAGATATTGAGTTGAAGTTGAAAATTTAAAGTACTTTACAAATGTGGGGGTTATCCTAAGACCCAGCCCCCAAGCCAGCAGAGCTCCTGAGACCCCCGTGGCCAGGACTGAGGGGAGGGATGGGAACCAGGCCTTTTGGCAAACAAGGCCTGAGTGTTGCTGTTCACCTGGCTGTGGTCTAGGACTGTAGCTAGAGATGGAGGCCAGTCCCTACCTTGAGGGGCCACTGTCCGCTGGGCCCTGCTAGGTCCATCGGGAGGGCTCAGACGACACCCCCTCTCTCGGGGATGCTCACCATTGCTGCCTGGGTCATTCACAGGAATCTTACTCCAGACCAACAGCAGGTCACCTGGCTGGCACTGGAAGCCCTAGGACTCTGGCCACGGGGGGCAGGGTACCACCAAGATCCCTCAGTCTGAGCTCAGCAAGTGTCCCATCGCCACACTTACTGTGCACCCGGATCACGGCCTCCAGAGAGCGGATGGCATTGAGGTTGGGTTTCTGTTTCCAGCCTTCTTCTGAAAGGGGATCCACCTATAGAAAACAGTCCATCAGCCACAGTCTCAGGGACCCACAGGCCCAGCTCACTCCCACCCCGGGGGCCCCGGCCTGCTAGCCACAAGCACACTCTACCTAGGCCAGGAGACGCTGCCCGGACCTAACTTGGAACAGAGGCTTCCGCTTCGCCTACCTCGTTTCAGGCCTGGCCACTCCCACCCTGTGCCATCCCATCTGCCTGCTCTTTGGGTAGTCCTGGGAGAGCCAGGCTAACCTGCCTGACAGAAACACGGATAGGGGAGGGAGATGGCTCACCTTGTTACCCAGAAGAGCAGCCACACAGGCCTCAGAGGCGTCACAGATGGCTGTGAGGTCATGGCCACCCTCCAAGGCCAGCACCACTGCACCTCCTGCCAGGTTCATCAGTTGCTGCGTCATGTACCCAAAACCTAGAGGTTGGATGGGGAGAAATGGGAGGGGCGGGAGTGGAGAGGTGACCCGGTTCCCTACCCCTGTGGCTTCCCTGCTTGCTTCCTCCCTAATAAAGAATGACTCACATATATCAATCACTATTTCCAAAGTGCTTTCACATTGAATGTCGTGCAAAACCTACTAGTATGCTTCACTCAAGGCTCAGGGAGGTTAAGGGCCTGGGAAAAGGCCCCACAGCTAGTAAGTGGCAGCAAGGTAGGACTTGAACTCGGGTCATTGACTCTAGCCTGTGTCTTTTTCACTGAGCTGCACCCTCTCCTCCTTCTGTCCTGTGGGCCCTGTGGCCCAGTGGGCTGAGTGGGCGCCCTCTAGTCTGAGAGTGCTGCTCCTCTCCCCTTCCTCTGGAGGAGCTGCCAGCCCCCCTGGAATCAACCCAGCTGGGGTGGGAAGTCCCATGGGTGAGCTTCCTGCCTGCTGGAATTAAGTCCCCATGAGTATGACCTGGTCAAGCCCTCTATGGTGAACCAGCCTGGTCCTGAGAAAGGGCCTGGGCTGTGCTCAGATCCCGGGGGCCAGCCGCCATACTCCAGTCCTCAGGCTGAAAGTACTGGGCTGGCCACTGCCACCTTCCCTTTCTGACTTGGGAGTGCCTCCCTACTTCCCGCACCGCCTCCCCACTCCCCGCACCGCCTCCCCACTCCCCGCACCGCCTCCCCACTCCCCGCACCGCCTCCCGACTGCCCGCACCGCCTCCCGACTGCCCACACCGCCTGGCTCTCAGTCCCTATATCTCCCCCTCAGCTGAGGCTCCCTTACATTTGGCAGAAACAT